CAACTCTATGATTCTATGATTCTATAGAGCCCTATAGGTTTGTATTTGGGGGAAGGAAGGTGAGGCTGTGGAGTAGCTTGGGAAAGTGAAAGAGGTAGGTCCCCCTATGGAAGGAATAATGTTGTCTGAATGGTGGGTGGGCGGGCAGGCAGGCAAGATCAGCAGGATTTCTACCTGAGGAAAGGAGGGCTGCATGGCTGTCTGGGTAGCCTATGACAAGAAATGTCCCTGCAGCTTCCCTCCTCCTCCACTTCCTCCAGGCTTCTCCTGGCAAAGGGAGGGAGAGGAGAATAAAGGAGGGGGAGGAACAGGAAACCCCAGGAGTCATCAGAGCATTGACAGTATGCAATGCAAGGGGGAACAGAGAAGAGCCTACCCCTTTCCCTTCTACCTTGGCTAGCTGGCTTGAGTTAGCCAAGGCAAAAGGGAAAGAACAGGACATGCTTGCCCCCTCCCTCAGTACTAGGGAATCATGGGAACTGTAGTTTATTGTGGCACCAGAGCTCTCTGACAGAGAAGGCTCAATGTCTCAGAAAAAAATACAATTCCCATGATTCCCTAGCACTGATCCAGAGCAGTTAAAGTGGACTCAATTTGCACTATTTCCAACAGTCTGCAAAGGCCCTAAGAGGGACTCCTACTCTAGGAATAATATCCAGGGGTTGCCGTGCTGGTCAGCCTGTACAGTAAAGCACAATAACATCCAATTACGGTAAATGCGAAATTACCTTAATTTCGCATTTGCATTTCCTCCAAATAACTAAATTTCAAAAGATCGCGGTTAACACCAGTTTCTGTCCACTTTCTGTCCAGTTTCTGTGCTATGCCATGTGAAAACATGGGGCACTAATCCAGTTTCTGTTTGGGTTTTGTGTGGATTAAGCAGCAGATTTGCCTCGTGTGATAACGTCCTATGTAGGGGAAGGGAGTGGGAGGGAAGGGCAACTCCAGTCCCAAGCAAGCAAAAAGTTCCACCATGCATGCAGCAACACTATACGCTTACCGGGACACAAGAAAACCTCCTCATGGCTCCAAGCCTCTGCTTGCCTCCTTTCTCTTCCGGCCTCTGGGCTCTGGGTCAGACATGCCTGTGCAATACCACCCAGAGCCTCAAGGCTTGGATCAGGATGAGTTTTTTTCCTGAGGATTCACATGCTGCTTTTCAAAAACTTCAGTCCTGCCTCACCACAATCTCCTTTGGGCTGGAAGGAAATATTCTCCCTTGCTGTAGTGAGGCATTAACCACTGCCCTTACCCTCTTGCCAGTTCCCCTCTAGCTGTTTTTAGAAGCCAGGAAGGGCAAGGATCTGGTATACATGTGTTGGTTCTCACTTATACAAGGATCCTGTCCACATCTTCAGGGTTCACAAATTGAAATATATCCAATAATATAGGACAAGCAGCTACCAAGATTATATCCACTGGACCTGTTGCAACTACTGGAAATATGATGGCATGGAAAATCCCAACTTTAGGATTCAATTATATATCTTTGTACGTCAGGATCTTGTTTAGGTCATTCATAACTGCCTTTCCAAGTCCTAGTTTCTACTGCTTTCTTGATTGCAGTCTCCATTCTGATTATTAACTGAGCCAAAGTACATTGAATTATTTCAGTGGCTTCATCGTCTACTTTATTTGTAAATTATCTGTGGTCATTATTTTTGTTTTTTAAATGTTCAGCTGTAAACCTGCCTTTGCACTTTCTTCCTTGACTTTCTTCAGTAATAGTTCCAAGTCAAAGCCAGCATGATGTAGTGGTTTGAGTGCTGGACTATGACTCTGGAGATCAGGGTTCGATTCCCTCCTTTGCTATGGAAACCCACTAGGTAACCTTGGAAGAGTCACATACTCTCAGCCCCAGAAAACTCTGTTATAGGTTTCCTTAGACTTGCCATACGAGAAGAAACAACTTGAAGCCACACAACAACAAAGTACGGTTTCATCTGCATATCATTAATTATTGGTGTTCCTTCCTCCAATTTTATCTGTGAAGCATAAATATTTTACCTCTCAGAGAAGGTGGGATTTATGCACTTTTATTACAGAGGAATATCTGATTCATCTACAAGAAGAATATTTGATTCAAAAATAGCTTCCTCATAGGTTTCAGGTTTGGCAAATTCACAAGGTACAAAAATATGTACTTGCAGTGTTCAACACAAGGCTCCCTCCAATATACATTTTAAGAAAAACTGCTTTTTTGTTCACAAAAAAGTGAAATATAGATGTTCATAATCATATTAACATTTATGGACTGAAACACCAAGACAGAGCTTCCCTCCCGCATACACCAGGATCTTTTCAGTGTTATCAACACCTGCTTTGTAGATTTGATTCGTCAAATCTGCTTGAACACATGTTGCTCAAAGATCTGACATTGCTGAAGTCTCTATACAGCTGGGATGGTGAAGAAATGAAGTTCCATATCAAGATGTCTGTATGAAGCTTTCATGTGATGACAAATTCCTGTCATAAACAGACTACTGCACTGCATTTCCTTGTTCAGAAATTTAAAAGGGGACAGAAAAATCTTCAACATTTACTATGAGCCAAAGTAAATTTCTTTACATATGTATCACGTGATACATGGTTTTCAGCAACTGCTGTTTCAGAAATGAGCTAGTTCCACATTTCCCATAAGCTGCATTTCCTGAGCAGTTATTTGGCATTATATTCAGAATGTAACATGTCTGTTTTGAGGAGGAAAAATGGTTGATAAACTTATCTAACAAAATTACCACATGATAGCATTTTCTTGCACAATAAACTGATCTTTCTTTTCAGAAATTATTCTTTGTTTCTGTTTCTACCACTGGTCAAGCACTGTGATATTATTATTTTTTCTTTCACAGTCTATAGCTATTAAGTGCTGTTGCTATGGAATCATACATGTCCCTCAAATACAATAAAATAAAAGCTACACTACAGACAATAATATAATGTGTTGGAGTACACGCTGAATACTAATGCAAGAGATTTAGTACTTGCCATTCTCAGTTCAATTGCTCAACTTTAATCAGGGGAACGAAAGGAATAACTCAAGCCTCATCTTATTTATACTATATTGACTTGGATATATGCTCTGTCAAATGAAGCAGGGCTTTCTTTTGCAAGTGGAGTTGGGTTGCAAACTATGGCTTGAGCACAGCACTTTGATTAACATTATTAAATCAAGTTTTAAAGTCTTGTTCAGAAACAAAATAGAGCCTTTTTATTTTTAAATTAAGGAATCCTGCTTGCTAACAGAATCTTTTAATGCAGCTGAATATTTCCCCACAATTGCAAAGTATGGAAAGAAAATGAGCTATGTCCCTGTAAATTCCTTGTGGATCCAGCTGCCTTAAATTAGGTCAAGCCAGTTATGTAGCATTTCTCATAAATGTGTGTCAACCTTTCCTATCCCACTTGCAAGAACAACAACACTAGGAATATGATTCTTCCATACATAATTACTGTATATACTCATGTATAAGTCTAGAATTTTTTGACAAAAAATTGACCTCAAAAAGCTCAGTATAAGCAGTGTATTTTAACTGAGTAGAGTGGCAAAAGGTAAGAGCTTAGTTCATCCTGGGAGCACCCAAAAGCATCACCAACCGCCTCTACTCTTTCCACCATGATGCTGCTTCTGGCCTTTTTGAATGCTTGTGTGGGAAAATGGCAGTGGTGGCACCTCTTTGGTGGTTCCTCTCAAAAGAGTGCCAAGAGGAATTGGGCTTAAAAGGATCTGAATAAGATATTTCTGTATGAAGAACATAAACTTTGTCCTTAACATCTTTTGTTGCATGCTCCTAAGTTTTATCCTTGATTTATCTACGAGTCATATCAAAATCCATAATTTTGGCCCCAAAATTTGCCTTTGAGTTATACATGAGGTTGACTTACAGTTGAGTATATATGGTAATTATGGTAGCATTCTTAGTTCAATTGCTAAACTGTAATAGGAGGAATGCTACCATAAGCATTGGTCAATATCATTAAGATTAAAAAAGGTGAAAAACTACAGATATAAATTATTGCTTACAATCTCATGGCCCATGATGGCTCTAGACAAGGTATACTGATTTAAATTAAGGTCATTCAAATAAAGAAGGAATCAAATCAGTGTAAATCAAGCTGTGTATTATTTACACTGTTTTTTCATCACTGCAACATGCCTTGCATCTCTATCTGAACTATTTTATATTTTGAAGAGAGTTGAGAAAAATTACTTCTAGGACTACAATACCCCAAATTGTCCAGTCATCATAGTTAGTGGGATTCTGGGCATAGTAGGCCCACAGGTAACTTTTTCAATCTCTATATTTGCCCACTTTCCCTTAAAATTATAGAGGCAATGTAGTTTTTTGTGGGTTTTTCGGGCTGTGTGGCCATGTTCTAGAAGAGTTTCTTTTTGACTTTTCGCCAGCATCTGTGGCTGGCATCTTCAGAGAATGAAAAAAGAACAGTTTAGACAGTTGTTAACTGCCCTCAAGTCAATGTTGACCCATGGCAACCCCATGGGTGAGACATCTCCAAGTCTCTCTGTCCTCCACTACTCTTCTTAGTTCCTGTAAATTCATACCCATGATCTCTTTAACAGAGTCCATCCATCTAGCATATAGCCTTCCTCTCTTTCTATTTGCCTCCACCTTTCTTAGCATTATTGTTTTTTCCAATGAGTCATGCCTTCTCATGATCAAAGTATGACAATCTCAGTTTAGTCATCTTGGCTTCCAGGGAGATTTCTGGCCTGATCTTTTTTGGTTGTATTTGTTTGTCTTTTGGGGGAATATCACACCTGGGCTTCTCCCAGACCTTTTAAAGAATGGGAAAATTCTATTATTTAAAAGGTCCAGGAGAAGAATGGGTCAGGTATGGGATGAGTACTGCCCAGGGATGGGGCTATGTCAGGGGTAGGCAACCTTTCCCCTTTAAGGGCCGAGGGACTTCAGCTCCCAGAATCCCAGGAGCTATTGGCCAACATGGGACTATTGGCCAACATGGCTGAGGCTTCTGGGAGCTGAAGTCCCTCGGCCCTTAAAGGGGAAAGGTTGCCTACCCCTGGGCTATGTGATAGAATCCATCCCTATGCATTTATATCCCGTGCCTAGTGCAGGAATAAAAGATGGTGTGATAATCTCCTTTGGCTGTCCACAGTGTCCTCAGCACTCTTCTTCAGCACCACATATCAAATTAATGATTTTCTTCCTGTCTGCTTTCTTCACCGTCCAGCTCTTGCATCTATACATGGTGATAGAGTCTAAAATGGCTTGTACAACTCTAACTTTTGTACTTAGTTGTATATCTTTACATGTTAGGATCTTTTCTAATTCTTTCATAGCTGCCCTCACCATTTTTAGTCTTCTAATATTTTCTTGCCTGAAGTCTCCACTCTGATCAATGTTTAATCCCAGATATAAGAAGCCTTTTACTCAGTTTAGCCAGACAGCTAGGTTAAACAAATATGTCTGTAAGTCTAAGCCAGGGGTAGGCAACCTTTCCCCTTTAAGGGCTGAGGGACTTCAGCTCCCAGAAGCCTCAGACATGTTGGTCAATAGTCCCATGTTGGCCAATAGCTCCTGGGATTCAGGGAGCTGAAGTCCCTCGGCCCTTAAAGGGGAAAGGTTGCCTATCCCTGTTTTAAGGGAACAAGCTTGTTTTCTGCTGCTCCAGAGACTAGGACCCGGAACAATGGGTGCAAGCTCCAGGAAAAGGGATTCCACCTCAACTTTAGAAAGAACTTCCTGACAATAAGGGCTGTTCGACAGAGGGAACACACTCCCTCAGAGTGTGGTGGAATCTCCTTCCTTGGAGGTCTTTAAGCAGAGGCTGGATGGCCATCTGTCGGGGGTGCTTTAATTGGGAGTTCCTGCATGGCAGGGGATTGGATTGAATGGCCCTTGTGGTCTCTTTCAACTCTATAATTCTATGATTCTTTATTTGCAGGTGCTTTGTCACGTTCTTTTTCTTTTTCTTTCAGGTGTTGTTTTAGCTTTTGATATTTTTCTTTTTCTCTTTTTATTTCGATAGATCTTTTAATTAGTAGCCCTCTGACCACAGTTTTGCAGGTGTCCCATATTGTTTTTATTGGCATCCCTTGTGTTTTCTTTTCTTGGAAAAAAAAGTTCTGTTAATTTTTCCAGGTTTTCTACATAGTTGTCATCTTGCAAAATGTATTCATTTAATCTTCATCAGAAGTTTTTTTTTTTCTTTAAGCCTAAATTTAATTCGAGTAAATTGTGGTCTGATGACTGTTTAGGATGAATTTCTATTCTTTGTATATCTTTTATTAAGTGTTTTGACACAAGAAACATGTCTATTCTCAATGATGTCTGATGTGGTTGGGAATAAAAGGTAAATCCTTGTGTATTATCATACATATGGGGCCATACATCCATTAGTGATAGATCTTCTATTAATTCAAAAAATGACTTTGGTAATTTGCCCTGTGAATTTTTGGATTTTCTTTTACATGATCTGTTTCTTTCTGGTAGAACTACTCCATTGAAGCCTCCTGCTAAAATTATATTGTCATTGATCTTATATTTCTCCAGATCTCTCATTAGATTTTTAAAAGACACTTTTTTCCCATTTGGAGCATAAATGTTAATTGTCACTTTTTTTTCTATTAGACAAATTTCCACCGCTATGCACCTCCCCTCTGAATCTTTGCAGATTTCTTTTGTTGTATATTTCTTATTTATATATGTCACCACTCCCCCTTTCCTTTTATCTGTTGTCAAATAAAATATCTGACCTAGTTTTGTATTTTGAATGTATGTATTTCTGTTTATTTAATTTTAATTTCTTGAAGGTATACAAAATCATAT